TGGTAGAGTTGTTGGGTACTCTGGTGTCCATACATTATTCTGGCGCTCGACTACTGAAATTGTGGGTTCTAATCCCACTAGGGGCATGTATATCCAGATTTCTTCTGTGATTATGTTGACCTTCGTGGGTAGGTCTATAATTGGCCAGAACCCTTGTCTGAGGAGTTCCACCAAATATACATACATAAAATATTAGAGCTTCAGAACCATATAAGCTGAAGAATAAGAATCAATGGAAGTATTGAGAACGACAATATCAATTGCGTAAACACACATAGGAATTCGATATAGGTTATTTTTTAAAGAAACCGAATAATAGTAAGATGAAGAATGCCGTGAAAACCTCAAATCTTAGGACGGTAAGATGTTTACAAGCAATATTTTTTGCACATTTCGGCACCTGAAAGTTCAGCGGTCTCATTAAGCTCACAAAAAAAGGGCATAAATCCTTGCAGTACCACTCGTACTGTTGGAGCAGCTGCATTGAGACGTCGGTGTTCATAACGTGACTTGTTTTAGACTTCTTACGGTTTGAGGTCGTTGCACTGACGAAGCAAAATAAAAATTTTATTTTTAATTGACTTTTATTTTAATATTTGTTATCTGTAGCTGTTGTCTTTCACAAGAATCCTAACATGTCAGTTACTTGCTCCTGCCACAAACTGGCTGACTGTAGTGTAACGATGTGTGACTTCAGTCTTTATAATTCAGAGCATGAAAATCTCACTCAGTAAAACAAACAACCATGGGCTTTACGGGTGAGGCCATTCGCTTCTACTCAGCATCCAGACCTACCTTAGGGTAATCCCGGCCTCACATATAATGGATTCCAGGGACTCTTTCTCAGGTACTAAAGAGGCTGGGGCGTGACGTTGTCAACTAATGCCGAAGTATAGAATGCAAGGAGCCTCCTCTACACGTCACCTATACCTATATAAGGCATAAAACTTCCCCTCAGTTACCATTTACTTTGGGAGCATCTACTGATGGGTTCAACAAACCAACATCACATTTTAATCTCTTCCGCAATGAAAGATCAGTCATAAAAACAGTCTACACATCTAAAATACTAGAACGAGCGAAAAATTTAGTAACGTAACATGTTTTTTGCTACCAAAGTTTATAATTTTATACACAGGCGTCAAATTTAGTGAAACGTTAAACACCACCATTAACTGTTCTTTATAATACCATCACAAATTCAGTAATATATTTCGTAACATGTACAGGTTATATTCGAGCTTCATACCTCAGAATACAAACTATCACTTCTATACAGGCCCTCCAGTAGCTGAGGCTCTTAGTTGACGGCTTTCCATCGCTACGGCTGGGGTTCGAGTCCAGGTCAGGTCATGTGGGATTTGTGGTGGACAAAGTGGAACTGGGGCAGGTTTTCTCCGAATACTTCGGTTTCCCTTGCCGATTCTTATTCCACCGACTGCTCCACACTCATCATTTATCATCCGAGGCTGGTACAATAAGCCAATTAGTGGCAGACGAACCGAGTGGACTCAGTCTCACTCCACCTTAGGAAACTGATTTAAAATAACGGAAAAAAAATCCCTTCTATACAGCAAACACCGAGCAAGATGACTCAAGGAGTAACGTTTCCTTTCGACTTGCATTCGAGAGGTGGCCGGTTCAAGACTGGGTCGGAACACAGGCTATCCTAATTTTTTTCGCGAGTTTTCTCAGAACTTCCAGACAAATGTTTGCTGAGTACCTTTAATTAAGCCACAACTGTTTCCTTCCACATCCCTTCCAATCCAACGTTTACAATCACCTTAAAATTCAACGCGATGTAGCCTGATTCACTGACAGCGTCCTTAAACAAATTACAAATAAAAACTACAAGTATGAACTGATCGAAATATCACATGATTATTCGTATCACAAGTACTGAAGGGCCTAATTACAAAACCATCAAATAGGTATTCTTTGTTTCGGAACCAAATACATAAATTCCGGAGTTTTTATGTACACGCGAGAAAAGGCATCCGGAACTCTCTGTAAACACGAGAAGTGGGATTCAGAGCTTCACTAACGCGGTGGTTTAGTTACGTTTCCAAAGTCGTGCCAAGGGCCAAATTGCTGCCATCCATTCAGTTCATTTATCTCTGCTGACTCAGCTGCAACACCAAAGGATTTTATTGACAATCAGTCATTTATGTTAAGAGGTGTTCAAACTAAATGGATAACCAATTTACAGGAATCGTCCCATGAGATGGACGAGACGATGCAGCACAATATTTATCTGATTTGTACTCTTTCCTTAACCTACTAGCCAACTACATAAGGCTGAGGCCCTCTTGAGAAGCCGCAAATAGCTCAGTTACTAAAGAATTTCCCAACAGTTTATGGAACCCAAGGGTTCATTACCATGTTCGCAAGACCCTTCTACTGGTCCCTACCCCGGCCCAGATCAGTCCAGTCCATACCACCCCATCCTATCTAAAATTCGTTTCAATATTATCCTGCTATCTATGCCTGGTTCCTAGTGGTCTCTTTCCTTCTGTCTTTTCTGCCAAACTTTCGCATGTACTCCTTTCGTATACGTGCTACATGTCATCTCAGCCTCCTGCACTTTACCGCTCTAGTTATATTTGGCGAAGAATGAAAGTTACGAAGGTCTTCATTGTGCACTTTTCACCAACCTTCTATAATTTCGTCCTCTTCGGTCATGTTCTTTTGTAAATTTCAAAAACAGGTACTCCTATTGATAACGCCATACAGAACGCCTGTACGCAACTTATATACACATAGATACAAATATATACACATAGATATACACATATAAAATTGCAAAGACTTTGTAACAGGTAAAATTAACTTGCTGGGTGGCCATATTAAAGTTACATTAGTGTCTTCGCCCTCCCTAATGCTGGGATCGTAGGTACGAATCCCACTCAAGGCATGGATGTTTCTCTATGTTTACTCTGTGTTTGGGTAGATAGCGGCTTTGCGACGGGCTGATCCCCCGTCCGGGGAGTTCTACCGACTGTACATAGAAATATGAAACTGAAGAGAAACAAAGCGTTTCACGGATGTGAACAGGGAAAGAGAGAGAGCGTACAGGTATCCATCTTATACAATGCTTTTTACGTAAAAACAAAAAACTCATGTCACTTAGCTAAAATAAGTTGTTCGGAGCTGATGGACTTACTGTGTTTCGCTAATGAAGAAAACGTTGCTGTTCGCACATACAGACCAGTTAAAACGACTTATTGTTCTAATGAACACCTCACGAACAGCGTCCCCATATCTGAACATTAGAAGGTGGATATCCCACGGAGTTTTTCTTTTGCGTATTTTTCGCCGTTTACTACCAACTCTTATACGAATTTGACACGGCGGTGAATGGACGACAATTACTACTCGTAACTTGGCTTTCTCCTTCACAGACATGTCAGATAAAGGAATCCAATGCATTGTTGAGTCTCTCGATATGACACCCATATCGTTTCATTCAGGCGATTCAATTTGCTATACTGTCGTGTCATACTTTAGTTTGAAGGCCTACATCCGGCAGCAAAACCTGGGTTGTGGTTTCATTGTCGGTCCGACATCTTCTGATCGCGGATTAGGGAGTAGACTAAATTGTTCCTGACCACACAGTGTACGTGTACTTTTCATGTAGCTAAAATGATGCTTTGCTTTATTTGCCTTCTGTGGAAGTTTCAGAGTCGATTCCCGAAAAGAATAATCTGTTATACTATATAAATTTCTAATAGCGGAAGGAACGAGCCCAGGGACTCATGCCTTGAGGATGACGATGAAGACTTTACAATAATATGCTATTTTTCAAGGAATCTGTGTTAGGCATTTGCTTGGAGAAACCAGGGTCAGAGCAATTTAAGGGCATTGATGAATCAACGATTAATTTACAGAATCTTTATGATGTGCTGCAACATTTCTGCACATGCAAATTTAGTTAACAATACTACGTGTATTTTAATATCTTAATAACATAATTGGCTGATTTGGTAAAGCATTAAAACATTATGCTGCTTTTGCTGCGGTATCAAAATGAGAGTTAGGGTACAGCGTTCTTTCTTAACCTATTTTTGTTCTACAATGAATAATTTCTATGCTTCTTCTATACAGAAAATGTTTCCATTACTTACGACCCAATTAACTCCATGGAGGCGGGTCCTTCTTGAGAAGCTAGCAGTTGCTCACATATTCAAGAATTCACAAAATTTTATGGAATCTTAAGGTTCATTACCGTGTTCACAAGAGCCCTCCACTGGTCCCTATCCTGATCCAGATCAATCCAATCCATACCATCCCACTCTATCTCCTTAAGATCTATTTTAATATTGTTCACCCTCCTACGTCTTTGCCTTCCCAGTGGTCTCTTTCCTTCTGGCTTTCCCACCAATATCCTATATGTGTTCTTCGTCTCCCCCTTTCGTGCTACATGACCTGAAAATTGAATCCTCCTTAACTTCATCATTCTAATTGTACTTGGAGAAGAGTAAAAGTTATGAGGCTCCTCATTGTGCAGTTTTCTCCAACCTCCAGTCACTTCATCCCTCTTCGGTCCAAATATTCTCCTCAGCACCGTTCTCAAACACCCTCACTCTATGTTCCTCCTTTAATCTTGTAGCATAGTGCCTTAACCAATTACGAATCAGCGTGCCCCTATATACATTACTGACCATGTATTAAATGCAGAGTACAATTTTCAGGTTTACAGGTTCCATCCCGTGTAAAGAAACCAGATGATAACCGCGTATTCTGCGGATGTAACTTCCACAAGAGACTAAACATACAAGTAGCGTCTTAAAGTACTAAATATGGATACATTTTCCGACATTTGAGGTTCTTACAGCGGCGGTTATGAAGAGTTCTACCATATGTGATATCAAGCCATGTTGACTTCCATCGGGCTACAAGGCTATATCCGACTCACACACTGATTTCACATTAAGTACCGACATCTGTCAAGTTTTATAAAGCTTTGTTTAATATTTGTATTTTCTTTTCTGTCCTTGCAGAGAGGTATCATCTCCTCCCCTAACAATGAATATTACATTATTAACCCTTTGCCACGTCGATTCCGACGAAGTTCTGCCAGTATACCTCACGTGGTAGTGAGGTGGACACCGCCTTCATTAACAACGGACAGCAAGACACCATCATGTGCGTCCCATCATCCCCAAGATACAAACAAACAAATTCCTGATGAAAATTCACGGACCAATTCCCCTGATAGAGACCACAGATTACAATCAAATGCCCCTATTAGTGCCGTTGATAATTCTAGGACACTTAATTGGAGTAACAATAACAATTCAAAAAATTCTAGCACAGAACATGTGTATGATTTGCACATAAGTGACAAAGTGGAACTGAAAAAAACTGAAGCGTTAACATCGAAACAGGATATGAGTGAGGAATCGACAAAGAGATCACATAAGCCCAGCAGTGGTGTTCTCAAAACGATACTCTTATCGTCTGCGGAAAGCAAAACGAAATTGGGTTACGGGGCGCTCAATGCAATTGAGGATGTGAAGAAATCCAGTAATTGTTCAGAAGAAGAGCATTCTGAAGTGCTGAGGAGGAAGAAGAGATCGGCGGTGTTGGTACCAGGAACGCCCATCCACGTGGAGACAGCCGTGTTTATAGACAAGGATCTGTATCAACATATGGCCCTCAACTTCCCTACCGACACAGAACGTGAGCTTGTGCGTGTGGTTCTCGCCATGATCAACGCGGTAAGTCATACTCAATTCACAGAACTGGACTAGAATTACGTCAGAAATTTCCAAGGACGTACCTCTCCTTATGTATAAGTGGTATTTCTGTATCGTTATTTCCTTAAGAACCTAACATCTACGAGAGATTTACTGAATGAAGGGGATACTAATCAACTTGACTGAACTGGTAACTAATGATACTTGACTGCATAGATTATATAACACAAAAGGCAAGAACGAGTGTAAATGAAGGGGACGGAGAGGCGTGAAATAAGATAGTGGTGGCCTATTTTAAGGCCCCCCAAAATTGTCTCCACCTTGTGGTGGTGGGGCTTGCGTGACTCTCTGACCTGAAGAGCTATGCCAGCGGTAGTTTAACTACTGGTAGAGTCACCCATGCCGGAAATGTCAAAGGGTAGAGTCCAGACTAAGAGAGATACCCTGGTCCTCCAGGTTGGGGGTTGGGCATGGTGCTAGTAACCTCATCCTGTAAAAAGAATTTTGTTCAGAGACCCAACAATCAGCCTCGGGTCATCATGCTTGAATCCATTCCTATGGCAGCACGCACTGATTGTCGAGACTGGTTGTAGAGGCCAAGGCTCACCGATGGTTGTAGCGCCGAGTGGTAGGTAAGCCTATTTTAAGGAGCTATCCCATTCCGTTCCTGGAGATATTGTGTAAAACCACGAAAAATCTTCGGGTCAGAATAACCAACATACGAGCCGAAAATCGATTCGAGAGCATCCAAATAATTAGAAATGCCAAGCACTTAACTAAGACTTTCAGTGCGTCAGCATTTTCTAATTTCCACTTGATATTTTTTTCCTTTGCCTTTCACTTTTCTGTGGCACTTCCTTCGGCTATTTTTTTTCCAGATTTCTTTGCCAGGTGATTCGTAACTTTTCCCAATTCGGGAAATCCCGGGTTCAAATCTCCCACTCGGAGGATTACCAGGACTGAAGATTTTCCGGAAATTTCCTCAAACTCTCCAGGCAATTATGGGGGCAGTTCCTCAAATTTGGCAGCGACTGCGCCCAACCACATCCTTCCCAATTAATTAATCACCCTACCATTCAGAACTATATAGTCTGAGCTACTGATAACGTCGTTAAATGAACAACAATATTAATCTTTCCCGCTCCTGTGTATGGGACTGGTACCTGTTAAAAAATGGAGTGGGGGGGGATAAAACGTCTCTATTCACTCTATGAACGTAACACCTCTCATTTACGGTTAAACATTCTAACCTGGCCACATTTACAAACGACAGTTACAGGTTCGAACGCCTCTTTCCTGTCCAGAGCCACAAGAGAAAACCGTATATAGGATCTGAGGTTCTCACAGCCGTGGTCATGAAAAAGAATTCTATATTCTGGAATATAGCGCAGTGTAGTCCGTTAAAAGTCAATCAACGTTTAGGAGGAACATGTCGCCTCCATCTTCAGAGTTGAAGAAAGAAAGTAGGTGGCAAGCTCTGCTATTTGCCATCTGCTTTCATGCTGTTTTCTTGCTTGGCTTATTCTTCGACCCTGAAGATAAGGGCGACATATTCCTCCGAAACGTCGGTTAACTTTCAATGGGCTACATGGCATTGTATCTCACAGGGCAGAACTCTTTGAGGGACAACAGATTTCTCTTTGTAAAATTTGGTTAGAAAATAAAAGATTTTGCAATGAACCAACCCTCATGAGATTAGTCTGAAACACTGGTAAACTCCTACCAAGCTACAGCGTCATATCCCAGAAGATAGTGTCTTCAGTCACCATAGTCAAATCTCACAAGGGTCTAAGAAGTATGTTTACACAAAGTTGATCTGTAAATGTACGAGTATAAGATGTATCCGGAAAGTCTTGCTGATTATTTTGGTGAAAACACCCCAAAATGGAACTGCACTCCACTACTTTCCGTAGGGGTATGACTGTTAACAGCTTCATTGTGGCTTCACAGGTGCAGCTGTTGTACCACGATCCTTCACTTGGACGCCAGGTGAACTTTGTCCTCAAACGTTTGGAAATCCTTCATGTGGACCCAGTATCACTGCAGCGTCCACATGATATTGACCGTTTTCTTAGCAGCTTCTGCACCTGGCAGCGTGGAGAAAATCCTCCAGCAGACTCTGACCCACTGCACTGGGACCATGCCCTCATCCTTACAGGGCTTGATCTCTATGTCGTTAGTAAGAATGGCAAAGTCAGCAGTCAGGTTGTTGGTATGTACTTAAGGTTTAGATACTAGTTATGAAGAGCAAAAAAACAAACTCAGGGACTGAATCCAGGTATCCAGGTTACACGACAAGTAATTAATGGGTTTCGGATTAGATGAATCATTTTGGACAATTTCACCCGGTGGAACTAGATAATTATAACAAATTACTTTAGCTATAAGACACAAAACAAGGCCTTCAATGTCTGTTTGCTTGAACAAAGTCTGCCTCTCAGAAGCAAGTTTCTCTTCCTCCTCCTCCTCCTCCTCCTTATTCTTTATCTTCTTACAACAACAACAGGTCGCAACTTGATTCAGGAGGAAATTAAGAGGAGATTGAACTTGAGTAATGCTTGCTACCATTCAGTCCAGAACCTTTTGTCTTCTTGTCTGCTGTCAAAAAACAAAAATTAGAATATACGAAACTAGAATTTTGCCTGTGGTTCTGTATGGGTGTGAAACTTGGTCTCTGACATTAAGGAAGGAACAAAGACTGAGGGTGTTTGAGAACAGGGTGCTGAGGAGAATATTCGGACCGAAGAGAGATGAAGTGACAGGAGGTTGGAGAAAATTGCATAATGTGGAGCTTCATAACTTGTACTCTTCTCCAAGTATAATTAGAATGATCAGGTCAAGGATGATGAGGTGGGTAGGGCATCTAGCACGAATGGGGGAGACAAGGAATACGTATGGGATATTGGTGGGAAAGCCAGAAGGAAAGAGACCACTGGGAAGACCAAGATGTAGGTGGGTGAACAATATTAAAATGGATCTTAGAGAGATAGGATGGGATGGTATTGATTGGATCGATCTGGCTCAGGATAGGGACCAGCGGAGGGCTCTTGTGAACATAGTAATGAACATTTGGGTTCCATAAAATGCTGAGAAATTCTTGAGTAGCTGCAGAATTGGCGGCTCCTTCAGAAGGGCTCAGCTCCATGAGTAAGTAAGTATGTAAGACAGCTGGGGTAGCAGACACCTTCTTGAACAGTTTTGGTTTTCATTTCCATGGTGACAGTCTGCCTATATATGCATCATTGTGTGAAAGTGTTTACTCGTACAATTATCACCCAGATAACGATGCATTCACTGCTCTTATTGCCGTTGTCTAGCAATGGACACTTGCTCTGACTATGCTATTCCAGATTTTAGGCAGCACATCACAATATATATAAACAGACATGCCACACTACATACTGCATGCATCTAACACACAGTGGCATCAGTATTAATTTTACCATTTGACAATTCCTATGTTTACTTAAGGTGATAATTGGGCATTAAGATGTGCATGAGGACAGAATTTCTCCTTTCTGATGAAATATACAATTCTAAATTCACTGAAAGGTGACTGAAGTGATTACAGGACAACAGTCTTATCATCTACAGCATATAAATGATTTATACATTCAAGAGAATGTAAGGAACCTATTCTTAATAATACTAGGAAGAACAGGTTTTGTGAAGTGTACTTACGCCACTGGTGCAAACACCGGTCATATGAAGATTTATATCCTGTAGTAAGTTCTTCAGGTAATGTCTTGAAGTATTTCTTCACAGTCCATTGTCGTTTCCAAGAGATATCCATCTTTCTGGACCACTGAGTGAACAGGAAACAAGAAGTGTGAATACAATTACCAGGATCTGAATAAGCAGCAAGTCTTGTCACTCTTAGGGCTTCAAAGAACTACTATGGGTCTCAGTCTATGAAGCTCATAAGGAGATAAAGACTGTAACTATAGAATAAATATACAGACATAGCTTCCAATATTTATAATATTCATTTACTGCAGATAAAATCTATTGTTTACAGAGGTGATATTTACAGCAGTGATATTAAAATTAAGTACACATTTGTAAGGTACAATTTCCTAGAACACAGTCTGTGTTTCTTACATCATAAGCGATATACATCTCTTATGTTGGTATAAACCTCCCTGAATAATAATGCTGTCTCCTGAAGTTTAAAGGCAAGTGCAAATGATGAAATATCAGCCACCATCACATGTAGCATGACCATTCACACCATCAAGATTTTTCAACTGTCAGAGAAACCTTGAAAGAAGCAGTATGTTCCACCTTAAGATTGACAGAACATGCTGCAGGAGTACACACACATATGGATTCCAAAACGAATTGATAAAGCACCAGATTAATTCATCTTCTATTGACATTTCCACCACAGCAGATAATCCTATATTCTCCTTCTCCATTCTCTCTTAAGCATCCTCCTTCAATCGTATTTTCACTCACTTGGTCAGCCCATAGTCAGTCATTTTCATTTCCTATTTCACTGTATCAAATGCAACTTGTGTTAATATCTTAAGATTTTAACACAAGTTGCACATAAGACAGTGAAATAAAAAGTGAAAATGAGTGATGTGCAACAGGATGCTACAGCAAACCAGCAGTGGTTTATACAGACACCTTCATATCTGAAACAGAATCATATTGTCAGCCATGTGCATATTACTGATTGATTAATTACACGCAACAAAACGAGTAGCACCGTTTCTTTTAAATTAGTTACTTCAGATGTCTTTGCAACAAAACTACAAATTCCTCACTATTTGTGTTTTCAGGTCTGGCTCCTGTAGCTGGTATGTGTACTGCAACCAGCAGTTGCACTGTTAATGAGGGTCGACACTTTGAGAGTGTATATGTAGTGGCACACGAGATAGGACACAAGTAAGTTATTCTGACTTCTTACACTAATTCTCTGCCATGAAATAAGGTAAAATTAACATATCTGCTACAGCAAACACAGATGCAGAAAATGCCAAGCTGCAGAAATATGAACTTTGAGTGCATGAATACATGCCCCACGTTCTGGGGAATGATGTATTTTACTGCTGTATCACACAGTGAACTATAAATGAGATCATCTGAGATCATTATTGTCATTTGTATTTACTCTTATAGTGTTCTGTTTAATATTCATAGCCTAGGCATGCGCCATGATGGGCCTTCAGCAGAAAATGAGTGTGATCCTGGGAGTTACATTATGTCACCAACCTTGGGAAGTGGAAAGATCACATGGTCTTCCTGCAGTCGACGGTACCTGCAGATGTTCCTAGAGTAACTATCACTTTCCTTTTTAACAAGTTTCTTGAAGTAATAAAATAGGCAGTTTGATTTCTAGACACATCAGAAGAATATGAAACATAATGGTGACCTCATGAAAGCATCACTAACTCCTATGGCATATCGAATTCAGTAGCATGGAGAGACAACCATGTAACCTCTAAAACAAACATTTATTGTAGTTGAATAAATATACAGATGAGCAAAGCAGAGAGTGCCTGATGAATACTGGTGAAACTCCTTTCACACAGGGTTAGCCTGTGCTAGTGACAGCAGTGTTATTGTTAGCCCCAAAAAGGACTTCATATCTGAAGCCAGGTGCACCTGTTGAATGTCAAATGAAGCTCCTGCTGCACTGGGCTAGCCTGGGCCAGCATCGGCAGTCTTCCTTGAGCGGCAGCTCAGTGCTTGTGAACTGGCCACTGGGCACTGAGGTTCCCAGTAGTGGATTCCGGCAGCTGCTAGTCAAGGTGGCTGGTGGTGTTGCTCCCAGGAGACTCGCTGTTGCCATGTGTAGTCAGCTGACATGTTGATCATAGCAGAGTAGACGTTATCATGCTCTCTTGATGTAGGTGTAGCTGCAATTCACCCTAGCATGCAGGAGGTCTGCATCTTTATACTTGTGTCACTAGGTGGGACGCAAACCAATGGGTATTGGAGCTGCTGTGGTGAGTGCTGACTGGATAGGGCTTACTTCACTGTGGGATGCTCCCACATCGCCTCATCAGATAGAATGAAAATGATAAAAATGAGAGGCAGCAGATCAATCATTTTCCTGCATGGCTTACTTTTTTACTTTGAAAACAGAGGCAGCAGTTCGTTCAAAATATTTTGGGGGAACTTTCTACTAGACTACACAATGTCACATCACAGATGTCAGTCTCTATATTCACCACTGTAAGAAACATATCACACAAAATTAAATTCACCTGAAAATGTTCAGTAGACCTCATAAAACAAATTAAATGGTTTGGGAGATAAAATCTACAAATGGATGTACAGACACGAACTTCCCACCATGAGTCAACCTTATGCACTGAGCACAGAGAACGTATAAAAATTATTGCTTCATAAAGATTTATTGTTTCTCTTTCTTTTGGACCCAGAACACCCCAGTCACAATGTCTGTTGGATCACAGCAGTTCTGGTGGCCAGTTGGATCACAGTGCTGAAGGAGCACTACCTGGAGAGAGGTTCAATGCAGACCAGCAATGTAAGCAGCACTTTATTAGCTAACTACCAGAAACTGATTAGTGTCAACAATACATCATACCAGGACAACACAACACTCTTTAGAAAGATGTTCTTGGAAAAATTATTAAGTCTGTATCCTTCACATATTTTAATCTGAACTGAAAGGCCAGGAAAAATCATAAATTAGTCATTTATGCCTATAATATCCACAGATATAGATCCTGAACACAATAGATCTGTCCGATACAACCGCCATTTCACACTTGCACTTGTAACTGTTAATACATAAAATATTTGAACATTTAATTTGTAGGTATATTTATCATCTACACCTGCAAAAAATTTCACACTCCTACCTCCAACTGTTCATTAGTCATCACCATCAAACAGAAATGTAAATACAAATTTTGTGCGGTGCCATCTTGATTTTCTAAACTCTTAAAAAGAAACTGATTTAATAATAGCTGCATATTCTGTGAAGCTCTAACATCACACAATATTTCATAAACCTATGGCACTAATGTCATTCCCATCTCACAAGTTTACATACTCATAGTAACTATGTCTGTATTACTGGCAACAAGAGATTACAAATATGAAAGGGGGTGGTATGACCTATAGCAGCATGATTACACTACATTTCATGAGGATCTGTCAACTAATAAAAACGTTATTAATAATAACCTAAAGACATGATACCATAAGCTTATCTCTGCTAAAAACAAAACTTACTTACAGGAGTTGCATAAAATAATGGAAACACTACAGATACTGTACACATTTCTTTATTAATATGGTGTTGGACCGCCTTTTGCATTCAGTACAATCCCAATCCTTCTAGGAATGGAACTGTACAAGTTTTGAACAGTCTCTAGCGGAATTTTATTTCTTTTTGAATGCTTCAAGTTGCTTTAGAGACATTGGAAGTGGGAATCTGTTCTTCACTCTAGTCTCCAAAATTGACCAGAGTGGTTCAATGCTGTTCAAATCTTGTGATTGTGCTGGCCAGGGAAGATGTTGAAGTTTACCTTCATGCTCTTCAAATCATGACTGAACAGATCCAGCTCTGTGAATGGGGGCATTATCATCTTGAAGAACTACATTGTTATTCAGATATAACTGCTGGATCATGGGATGCACCCAATTACTCAACCTGTCAAAGTACTCCCTTGCAGTAATTCGGCCATGAAGGATAACAATGAGAACAACAGAATACAATGATATTACTGCCAAATCCAGCACAGAATCTCCCCCAAGTTTCACTGTTGGAACCACACATTCCGGATTGCAGGCTTCCTTGGCTGTTCTGCAGACATAAACTCTTCCTGATGTAAGGAACAGCGTGAAGGATAACTCATCTGACCATATCATGCATTTCCAGTTGTCTGATATCCAGGTTTTTGGTCATGACACTACTGTTTACACATCTGAGCATTACTTTTTGTGATCAGGGATTCAACAATTGCAGCCATACCATGAATGTTGGATTTGTGAAGCTCAGGTTGGAGAGTTTTGTGGAAATGGAGTCTTCAAGACGAATATTCAGTTTTGCTGTCCTGTCACCTGTGCTGAATTTTTCAAGACCATCCTCAATGTACGATGATCTCTTTCTGTTGAATTTTATTTTTGCCCACTGTTCCTCTTTGCTGATGATGTTTTCCCATGATTTGTGTATTCCTACATAACCGTGGAAACTGTCACTCTCAATACATCTAATAATGTGGCAGTTTTTCATATGCTCCAGCTAAACGAGCACCACTGATCTGTCTTCTTTCAAAATCAGAAAAGTCTCCCATTTTACGATTCTTTCACATAGACTTCCATTCGACACAATCGCTAATGCACTGACATAAGCACTACAGAGTGTAAAGAAACAGAAGAAGAATATGCTGTGTTACCATCTGAAGTTCTTTCAATGAAGCCAACATAAACAAATTCTATTCCTAAATTTCTTAGTGTTTGCATTATTTTGTGCACCCCCCACCCCCCATGCATCTCCACTACTTCATTACAAATGTCATATATTAATTACTGCAGTATCTGTGTTTAAGAAATACTCTTCCATTCTCAAATTAAATATTCCATATTTAGATGTTAGTCAAGAGGCTGTGCTCAGCGCTCAGGGGTAATAAAAATTTTAGATTCTGACTCAAGACTCCTTCAAGAAAGATTCAGTTCTTCTCAGTGGTCTCTCCTAATAAATATGTGCAGACATTACTGGCACCACAATATACAATTATATTCCCTTTACCTGTCTTATATTAACAGATACTTAGAAAAAAATATAGTTCATCACAGTCCTCACATCTTGTTCTCTTTCAGAAATAAAGCCTGCACAACTTCAAGGACTCATACATAATGTGGCCCCTCACTTTTCCTCTAGATAGTTGGCAGGTTCCTCTCTTCTTTCATCTAACTTAACTTATCCCTTGGGTCTACCAATAAGAAATGTGAAGACCACTGCTCTTTACATTACACAACAAGACAATCTTTTTTTTTTCTTCAGGTATGCTTAAATATGGCCATGGAAGTATCCATGCCATACAGCAACCACTTGACGATGTCTGTCGTGACCTGCATTGCCAAAGAGACCGTTATACTTGGACCTCACATCCTGCCCTTGAAGGAACTTTCTGCGGTAACAACAAGGTAAGCAAGACCTCACACATTCAATAATTTCAATATTATGAAATTTTTACTGAAAGTTCAAATTCAAATTTCAGTGAACCAAGTGGGACAAATGCAAGTTGAAAACGAAATAGAACATACTAAACACAAGTTTTCACAGCAAAGAGCACCTTAGTCACACTAATTAGCTTATAAAAGATTTTTCATTTACATTTTAATTGGTTCAAATTTTAGTCATTGCACTATCAAATTTTGTATTTTGATCAAGGAACATATTCTCAGATAAAACATGCCACAGAAGTTTGGGTTTTTATTAAGCATATAAATCAGAATGTACTCATATGAAGATGTCCTGATGTGTATCATATTCATTCACAACACAAGAACATTGGATAATATTTATTAATATAATACTACTCTATCAATTGTGACCTAACCCGTATCCTGAGTAAGGAAGCCCCAGAAAATTTTAATCTGTTATGAATTTTGGACTGACATTTTAATGCCTTAAAATTCTGCTCTATATGCAGCTACTACTACTATCACAGATTTTAGCCACTCTTCAGGTATCTTTAGATATTTATATATATGAAACTGAAAACTAAAAATTGGTTTAATCATGTATAAGTCTTCTTCGGAGACTTCAAATTAGGAGGGCAAATTATTCAAACTGTGAAATATGCAGATGATCTTGTGTTAATGGCTAAGGAAGAAACTGTGCTACAGGGCATGATTGATACACCAATTGAAATTGGAAGGTGCTATGGCATGGAAATGAATGTGGAGAAAACAAAAGTAATGACAATTTCGAGACAACCAACCCCAGTCACAATAAAGATAGACCAAAAACAACTGGAGAATGTGAAATGTTTTAAATATTTGGGTAGCTTGTTAACAGATGATGGAAGGTGTACTAGTGAAATTAAATCCAGGATTGCCATGGCAAAAGCTGCATTTAGCAAGAAGAAGAATCTTTTTACCAGCAAATTGAACTTAAATTTGAGGAAGAAACTAGTGAAATGCTACATCTGGAGCATAGCTCTGTATGGGGCTGAAACATGGACACTTAGGGCAGTAGATCAGAAACATCTGGAAAGTTTCGAAATGTGGTGTTGGAGAAGGATGGAGAAGATCAGTTGGTCAGTTGGACCGATTATGTGAGAAATGAAGAAGTGTTAATTAGAGTCAGTGAGCAGTGAAATATCCTACACGAAATAAGAAAACGGAAGGCTAATTGGATTGGTCATGTTTTACGCAGAAACTGCCTTCCAAAAGGAGTTATCGAAGGAAAGACAGGGGGGCGGATAGAAGTGACAAGATGATGAGGAGGAAGAAAACGTAAGAAGATGCTGGATGACCTTGGGGACAGAAGACGATACTGTCATTTGAAGGAGAAAGCTCTAGATCGCATTAAGTGGAGGAATTGTTTTGGGAGAGACTGTGGACCTGTCGTCTGACAGATCACTGATGATGATGATGATGATGATGATGAAGTCTTCTTATTAATACAGAACTGTCTTCTGAACACATCATCTTGCCAGACTTATTGTTCTTAACAATCCTCACATTCTCTCTAGCAAAGACATCTCATAACTGTCAGCATACATCCATTATCCATTTGTACTACACACTCCTACATTTATGTTCCATGACTACATAAATATTAAATGATTAGAGTCTTTAGAATATGCTGGTATCTAAAGGACTAGATAAATGACAGCATGTACTTGTTCTGCAGTAATTTCTATATAAGCATCACATAATTAAACCATCACCTGTATCTTATCAAAGCACGTAAATACAAATTTATGAGAGCTGGAGCTGCAAACTACATTCTAACATGTTATGGATATATTATTATTAATAGTGGTGTCGCAGTGGTCGGTGTGTAGGGAGAGGCCTCTCAGCACTGCAAGCTGGATTTTCGCCAAATCAGCGGGTGGATGGTGCATGGAGCGAATGGTCACCATTTTCAGAGTGTGCCTCAGGCTGTCTATACAGTGAAGAGGGGCGACTACATGCTGGCAGCACAGGTATCATGGTATCAACAAGACGATGCAACAATCCCAGGTATGTAATATACAGTGGAATTCCCTTCATGATGCTCAACTTCAAGACATTTCATAGTTTGGTGTTGAAATCCATTTTCCCCTAGACATGCCTTAAATGGGAATTTCAATGTAGTTTGGCTGGCAACCCTCCCCTCCAATATATATATATATTTATTGATCTAGAACAAATGTGCAGCTGTTAATAATATAATGTCATGTGTATCACAGTGACTAAGACGTGGGGTTTGGATTGGTAATTGGACTTATTAACAACCTACAGGTCGTGACAATTAATTATTATACTACTGCTGCTTTACACAATGTACAATCACACCACACTAATCTCTTCAATCTATCTGCACTAGTCTTCATGGGTTTATAACATGGGGCACTATAAGAGTCATACTGAATCACACACTCCAAATATTACACATAAATAAATTCTTCTAATCACACATTAATTCTACACAAGCCGACTTCTAGTTTTTCTTCAACTACGAACATCCCATGGCTATCTCCTTGCTTGCTTGTTTGTTCGCATGCTTCTGCCACTATTATTCGTAACTTGTAACTGCTTTACTTACATGGATGAGAAGGAGACATGGACCTATAGTAATACACATCACATGATTACTATCCAGCCAGCCTATTGGCGCATCAGTCAGATCTACAGCAAATGTCACATGATCACTATCCACTGTGATATCACTGCAGACACGGAAAACATAGCGTCCTCTATTGTTGTATAACCTAGTAATGGAATGTTTACCAAAAATCTGTCTCTGTGGGAACTTGTTCACCAACACATTGCCTAGCAATGGGTGTACATGTAGCAATGGAACCTGAACTATGGATTCAGGTAAAATTAGTATGAAATGCATTCTGCAACATGGAACACTGACATGGATATTACAACAGACGCCATATACAGTGGTAGTCCATTCCATTTTCAATAAATCACCTAGTCTTATTTCAAGCACATTATAGTTCATGCCCTTAGAAAAACCAAATGGGCACAGGTTTACCACCTGTAAAATGCATATTAATGCTTCTTATATTCAGGATTTCAGAAAGATAAAATGTAATTGCTATATTTAAAATGCCTTTCTGTTACAAAATAAAAACAATTAGTATTTTCTAAACCAATACAAGACTTTCTATACTTCATAAACAAAGTGAGGTTTATTACTGCTATGTCAGCCATGCCATTCTCCACTAATGATCTATTAATGAATTGGCTGATTTTTATGAAGCTAATTATGGTAATTACAGGCCATTTTTCAGGCTGTCTAATGTTCTTCTATGAAGAGTAACATGGTGAGGCAGGAGCAATACCAGCATTATTACTAGTATAGAGTCCTCACATACAGCATGGTAATAGAAATCTAAGAATATGCAATGTTTCCTACTGCTGGATGTGTAGGTTAAAACAAAATGTTCTTGCAAGCAACATGTTTATTTCAAAGTGTGATAATTATAACTGATAAAGCATGTAAATTTGGGTGTAGGCTGTAAATATACAAAAAAGTTTTGTAAAACTTATTTTGGCATATTTAAAATGACAAAAATGGCAAAGGTAAGACCTTGTGAGTTCAAGATAAGAATTTTCATATGTCTGTATTACTGAAGCAGTGGATTGAAAAGTTGTACTATTATTAAATTACAAACCGGTCAACATATATTCAAGTGAAATAATTTAAGAGGAAAATAGGTATCATAAGTTATTCAAAAAACTATTTCTTGCATTATTTTTATAGAAAATGCAATGTGATAAGAATCTGCTTTCATATTTCCATGAGCTTATACAACAGTGAACTTCTTCTCACTCAGTACATTATTCACAGACAGATGAAGACAATCTAAAAGAAACTGTAATATAATATTTGGTTGGGGTCTGAGGAATTCTGTTCAGGTTCCTCTGTCATAATATAAAACAATTCACTGTCATGAAAGTGGAACTATTTTCAAAACTGCCTCACATGAAATAAAACCTGTGAAAACTAGAATAATTTAGGTGTAATCCCCATAAACCACTGTACCAATGATGACTGCATTTAATACTTATCTTGATTAATCTGGCTCAATGGAAGCATCTGCGGTGGGCTCTATTGAACACACTAATGAACCTTTAGGTTACACAGATGGCTTCTTAAGTTGAAGAGAGGTTAGCTTCTGAATGAAGACTCTCCATAATGGAGTTAGTTGTTTTAACTGCCCTCCCTTGCCCACAAGGTGGTTGCCACTTTTGCTTACCGTCGGTCTTGTTCGCCTTACGTTCAGCGTCACTTTGACTGTCCTACCTGGTGCTGCCTCCGTTGAAGTTGTTGGGGCGTGGCTGGTTCCGGCTTGACCAGGCTCCATCGCTTCTTCCGGCTCCACCGCTTCCTCCTTCCGTTGCTGATTATGGGGGTTGGAATTTCAGGATAGAACCTGATGTTATGGGCGCCAGCAAACAGCTAGGTGCGGTTTGCGATTCATTATAAAGGAGGAACGGCTTGAGTGGGTGGAAGCTGGCGATGGGTTTGACTAGCTCCTGGCGATGAGTCTCTCCTCAGGTCGGCTAAGGGTCAGGCTCGGACAAGTGAGGGTGAAGCACTTCTGACCAACACAATGCACTGTACCACTGGAACACTTTATTGTTTTCTCACAGTCACTCAGAGTCTAAATCTACACTATCAGGCCTAGTCTCGGCTACCAAGCAGCCGGTGTTGCACTTGCTCAAATTATTTAGCTTAACACGCACGTATAATCGCGGGTTTTACCTCCGCCACGTTTGAAAGTTTTTAGCAGACTCTTAATCTTAAAACTGGACTCTCTGCCGAGCCAGAGGTCCTAAGTGAATTGTATCCGCCTCTTCTCTCCTCCTCCTAAATTCCCGGATAGGTTGATTCAGATAAGAGGAGTTGGCTTAATTTTGGTTCCGGCCAATGACCGATTGTTTTAGAAGTAGTTTCGGCCTAAAATCCCAAATATCGAAATTGACAGCTGTGCAACTTATGAGGGGTCGCTAATGATCTCCTGGCACTCCCACTTTTGACTAATGGTGCGTTGCGACTGCCACTGCTCGAATTCTCAAAGTGGCTTGCCGCTGTAAGTCAACTCCTCAATTTCTAAAGAAACTCAGTGGGGTTCCTTGAAGTATCATTTCTGCCCTTTTCAAAACAACACCAAATGCTTGGACGCAAGAACTAACAGATGTCCTTGTCCGCACAAGTTCGGTCTATCTGCTTGTTCTGACTGTGTCTTAACCTATGTTTCTTAGTAATTCTTACTGTCTACTTTATAAAATACTGAAATAAAAAGAGGGGGGGGGGAAGGATTTAAATGGTTCAGTTACATTGTTTAGTTCCAAACAAATTCTCTGTCAAAGAGAACAGTCTTATGCACTGTAATGCCATGCAGTTTGGAGACATCTCAAAGTTTTGGCAGAACATATCACATCCATCTTCAGGGTCAAAGAGAAAACCAAGCAAGAAACCAGTAGAAGTGACTGTTTTTCTGAAATGTCACTCTGAACTACATGCTATTACAATCCAAAAGACTATGCTCTTCAGTCACCACCACGAGAACCTCAAACCCAATATAATTCTCAATTGATATTTCAGGCCTGAAAATGATGGTCTGCCCTGTAAAGGCAGTGATCACAGATACAGGACATGTCTTGCTGAGCAATGTGGTAATGTTCAGCGCACTACCATAAAAGATTTTGCTGACCAAATTTGTATTCGGGCTCGAGAAGTTGACAAGGAATTGCTGGGAACCGGACTTCAAAAGCCAAGTTCTGATCGTGAGTTGTTTACATAGCATTAAATGACAATTATCATAAATGATAAATCAGAAAGGACATGCTTGAGCTTTGAAGGTACTAAGAAAATCCTCACTTGAGGATGGCTTTTCCCTGGGGCAAGATTCAAGCCTGGGACCTTCCAAATATGATAAAATACTAACCATTACTATATACTGTTAAAGTCAGATTATAAGACAAGTTGATGTTAATTAATTCTTGTGTGATATGATATATGGTTAAATATGGATATTTACAATTATTCATAAATAACATATAATTCATTATCTAATGTTTCTACCTCAAAAGTAGCATGTATAAGTAAAGAAATAAAGGGCAGGGTCATAATTCTATTAATTTCAATAGTAAGTATGTTTCTGATAATTCTTATTTTGTGTGAAAATAGAAAATGCAAATATATGACCACAATTACCAGATTTTGCTTATAATTTTTATGCATAATCAAATGCACACTTGCCTGTCATAATCTGTATCGTTAAATAATCATCAGTATAAAAAATTAATTTCAAAGCCATTAAGGTCCCTTTCTCATTAAAAAATTCCCAGAGAAAAGCAGAACATTATGTCTGAAAAAAATATGTAAAATAATGTCAGTACCACTGGGATATGAGAGAAGTTCAAACATTACATAAAAGGGAATGGTCACCAGGGAAAATAAAAATTCATGGGATGGATGTTCTGTTATACATTTCTGCATATCCTCCTTTAAATCTCTTTAGAGAAAACCTTCTTCTACATTTCAGCGGGAGAAGCATGCACTGTGTGGTGTTACAAAAGAAGTGGAGGGTCTAAAAGTCGAGGATGGACATTCCCTGATGGTACAACCTGTCAGAGTCATCGATCACAATATAGGAAGTCAATGTATTGCATCAGTGGTAGATGTGAGGTAAGGTCCCCAGAACGTATCCCTTTAAGTTTATATGCCACAGTATACAAAAAAATATATATAAACTTTTAATAAGTTAAACAGGCTAACTCTTTGGTAATAAAATCCTCAATGCTCAACACTTCACATCCTCACATCCAAAGATAAGTTTCAACACTTTCCTGTCATCACATTTGGAAAAATATCTGCAGCCAGGATGAGATGGATTTTTAAATGCCTGCTGAGCCACTAAGTGAAGTGTTTTGCCTGAAAAGTTGGTGCAACAAGGACATAAATTTATAAAGCCAAATGTGTCCATACATTTTTGACTGTCCAATTCAATACTACTATAATACGAGGGGCGTTCAAGTTCTAAGGTCTCCGATTTTTTTTCTCAGGACTGGGAGCAGATAGACACATGCGGTTTTGTTTAAAATATGTGTGCACTCTTTGTGAATGCGTGACAGAGATGGCAGAACTCTACGGCACACAGAACTCTAGTGGTAGCGGCGAGTGTGAGGAGTGTTTTTGATACTTAAAATGGCGACGTTTTCGTTACAAGAACAGCGAGTAATCATTCGTTTTCTCCACTTGCGTGGTGCGACACCCATTGAAATTCATCGCCAGTTGAGTGAGACATGTGGTGATGGTGTCATGAATGTGAAAAACGTGCGTTTGTGGGCGCGACAGTTCAAAGAAGGCCGAACGTCGTGTGACAATGAACCAAAACAATCTCGGCCTCGCCCCAGCCGGTCTGACAACATGGTCGAGCGAGTTGAGGAAGTTGTTTTGGAGGATCGCCGATTGAGTGTGGAAAACATCGCCCCCAAAGTTGGCATTTCCGTGGGATCTGTGCACAAAATCCTGCATGAAGACCTGCGAATGCGGAAAGTGTCCTCCAGGTGGGTTCCACGAATTTTGGCGGATGACCACAAGGCTGCATGCATGGCAATCATGAAGGCATGAATGGGACTCTCTTTTCATCAACTGTGACAATGGATGAGACATGGATGCCGTTTTTCAATCCGCTATTGCATCAGCAATTTTCCAGTGGTCAAAACAGACTCCTACAGAAGCGTTCGCAGCGGCCATGGAATCATGACGTCGACGTTGTGAAAAATGTGTACGGCTGCAGGGAGATTACGTTGAAAAGTGACAGAAGTTTCAAATTTTTTGTATGATTATTGTGTGAGAAAAAAAAATCGGAGACCTTAGAACTTGAACGCACAACGTATTTGTCAGTGAAATGGTGGTAATCTTCAACACTTGACACACTGAGTCATAGTCTGTCCATCAAGGAAAGAACTATTTTTGGAAAAAAACTGATTTCACAGTATGGCAAGTTACACATGTTTCCTGGATGGTTTCCATAATTTGGAATTATATTGTGAACCTAACCAGTGTCACTGGCAGCTAATTCAAATAATCTGGTTCTCCACTTTGTTGGTTTCTTTTTTGGATTATAAGTTTCAACACTGGGTACATAAAATACATCTTATTTTCACATGCATGGTTTCTCCAATTGACTAATGAGTTTAAATAATGCAAGGCTCCTCATTATGTATATTTCTGCATTACGTCGTTACTTTTCTCTTATGTTCTGTATTCTCTGAAGCATTTTGTTCTCAAACATGTTCCTTTGCTTAAAGAAGTATGTTAATGCCTGCAGTAATGTGATTAAATTTTGAAAGTTTCAGTTAATGCTCTTTGCAGGAATTTGTTTGTGATCGCTATGATGCAGCTACATTCAGTACCCTGCCTGAGCTGTGCCATGGGTCTTCAAACGGAGGAGGAGGGCGGCTTCAAGTCCATGACTCCTCCCTCTTCTTTCGCAATAAAGGTCAAAGGAGGGAAGTGCCTGAGACTCGAATACAATGGAGTCCTGCAAGCGGTTGCCATTTTAACTGCCTTGCTCCAGGGCGAGGTCTCAGGCTTGTAGTTGCAAAAGATATGAAGTGTCAACTAGAGGACAACTGTGAAGGAGGGAGAATCACTAGCATTCAACTGTGTGAGCCAGATAAGCAGGTACACAGACGCAATATAAAGGTATTAGATGTAAGAGGGAACAAGTTGGTGGTGACTGGAGGATAAATTCTAGACCACCTACCTACCTACCCACCCACCTACCTTATCACCCACTCGCTCACTCCATCTTCTTAAGAAGCCACTAGTTGTGGAGCTACTTAAGAATTTCATAACAATTTATGGAACCCAAAAGTTCATTACTGTGTTCACAAGAGCCCCCCACCAGTCCCTATCCTCAGCCAGATGAATCCAGTCCATACCACTCCTTCCTACCTCTCTAAAATCCATTTTAATATTATTGTCACATGTTGGGTATGTGACGCGACAAATAACTTAATGCCGTCTTGGATGTAGCGAATTTATTGTATACTCACTCTTGCACTTACACAATTTACAATGTCCCAATTACTGCCATCTGCAGTAGCCACTTCCTGGGTTCAGCTGTCTTGAATCCATTCACTTGATACACTTAATAACAACTCGTGGCTGCTGGACTTCACCTCATCTCTTCAAAGGCTGGAAACCGACTGCTAATGCTCAACTAACTCCGGCGAATGCTAGACTGCAACTGCTCCGGCGAATGCTAGACTTCCGCTGCCCTCCTTAGGCATTCCAGTTTCTCTTATAAACCCTCAGCTGGACAGCAGAAAACGCACCTTGCTTCCCTTTGCATAATTGCCATGTTTACTGATTGCCTAGCAAGTCTCTGCATGGACTTGCCTGTTGAGTGACGTCAGCCTAGCAGGGAGGGGTGTTACCAAGCTTTGAGGAGTGATAGAAGGAGCGGGGATATGTGACATCACTCGCGGAAACGCAAAGTTCACGTGACCCCTACTTCCTGTTGCGCCATCCATGTTACATTATCCTCCCAAGCCTAGGTCTTCCTAGTGATCTCTTTCTTTCTGAAACTCTGCATGCATTCTTCTTCTCCCCCATGCATGCCACATGCCCTGCCCATGTTATCCACCTTGACCTGATAACTGTAATTGTATCTGGCAAAGAGTACAAGTTATAAAGTCCTTCATTATGCAGTTTCCTTCAAACTCCTATCATTTCATCCCTCTTCAGTCCAAACATTCTCCTCAGCACCCTGTTCTTAATACCTTCAGTCTGTGTTCTTCCCCTGGTGTCAGAATTCAAGTTACTTACCAACACAAAATTACAGGCAAAATTATAATTTTGCGTATTTTAAATTTTATGTTATTTGACAGCACAGCACTTTGATACATTTTCAAAGGATCTATTAAATATGTTTATGTTATGATTCTGCCCTGCATTCTAGTGGGGAAATCTCTTGCAAAAAAAAAAAAAAACTGGAAGACTGGACTGATTGAGAAATAACATTAAGATGGGTATTGGGGAAATGGGATTTTTGGATTAAAAGTGAACTGAACGGGCTAAGGATCATGTTCAATGGTAGGCCTTGGTGTTAGTAATACTCAGCCTCTTGATTCTGCCACCATAGCATGAGCTAGTATTTGAAAGCTCTCCATGTACTGTTCAAACTACTCAAGTTTGCTATTCCGATACTAATCAATTCAGAACGAGAAGAAAAAAAAAGAGTTATAAAGAGTGCACAGTACTTGTAGCAGAAGCCTCATGTGTTGTGTTTTTCCACTGAAGTGTCATGCAAGAATGCATGGTTTCCAGAAGTGGTTCATTTGCTGCTTCCAGGGATGTGGCAGGCTTAAAACTCCATTTGAGCATGCAACCACAGTATGCAGCAAGTACAGAGAGAGAGTAAGAAGGCTGTCTGGCTTTGGGATGCAGATTTCACCTGTTGCTCGTAAGATCTTTCTTCTATTTGTGGTTTATTTAACAATGTTACAGTAGCTAAGATTATATAGTGTCGAATGATAGGGCGATTCATGAATAGTGACTGGAAAAGATGTTGAAGAAAGTGACACTGGTCTAATTTGAATTAATGCCCTAGCATTTGACTCAAGGGACTGAGGAAAACCATGAAATAGGTGTTAAGATACTCAGTCCCCATTCAGGCTGAGATTTAAACCCAATGTTTGAAAACACATATTATTACACACCAGTAAACAGTGGATCAGCAATCTCATGTGTTATGCTGGGCTCTAGTAAGTGACCCAATGAACTGTCATCTTAACATGGCTGAAACAGAAACATTCCATTATCAGTTTGATTACAGGATGGTAATTTTTCACCCTATTTTTTTACACATTTTTCGTGTATAATATTATTATACTTCCCATCCACCAGGAACGGAAATTCGGGCGAAACAAATGCCAAACAGTCACTGAATTGGTCGTTAAACCATTCACATGAAAGAAGGGAACGATTTCACTGATAATAAAGATTTCTCGTCATAACGTTATGCCATTGGAGGGCAGCATAATGCCATAATATGAGATATTCAGTAATCAATTGTGTCACTGTGGGGGATGCGCAAACTCATGAGGTGAGCGGCGTTTTAGACACATTCTAAGCTATCACGTAGCAATATAACCTAGGTTTATAAGAACATAGATAGATATTATGGGTGGAAAAACAGTCAACACACTCAATTATATATATATAACGTCATATTTCGATTTATATTCCATGTTACGACAGTCCTATATTACGTTCTGTTAAATAGCAGCTTTGTAAATGACGTCACCCTTAGGTGTGCGCAATGAACTACTGCGCATCCACCTGTAACTCAGGGGTACCATTCGCTGATGTTACCTTAGGTTAGGTTAGCTTGGGATGGGTTGGGTTAGGTTTGGTTAGGTTAGGTTTGGGCAGTACATTACTGCGTATACATCTGTACCTTGGAGGGGGCGAAGCTCGGTCATTTACGCTAATGTTAGGGTGTGAGTTTAAATTATGACGGGTGTGCGCAAATGATTACTGTGCATCATTATGCTCAGTTGAGCACTGTTTGGCCATCGGCAATATCTTACGATTGAATGTCTCTGATAGCGTATGAGATCATTATATATTTATACGGGATATTTATTTCCGAATCTTCTCACATGATAAACTCTTGCATATATTTTTCTGTTAAACTCTCTACATAATCTATGAAACCTGGAATATATTGCGATATTTATAATGGTCATAAATGCATTTTTTCCGAAATATTGACATTTGAGAACGCTCTCAAGTGCATTATATCACAATTACCTTCATTGACTCTTACAATTTCCAACAGTTCCCGAAATATTCTCTTTTCCAATGTTCCCATTATTAACTTTATTATGTTTTTCGACATATGTGGAGGATATACATATACTTTATATGAAAGGTATCCACCCCACAATACTAGTGCTCAAATACTGGATAGGGAAATCACTGATTATGATCTGAACCTAAGAAAATATCATTCAATCTTTATTCCAACAACTGCTCCACAATCACCATCACCTATCATCTGAGGCTGGTACATTAGGCCAGAAGTGGCCACAATACAAGGGACACAGTCCCTCCTCACTAGAAATAAAAAAAACGAACTCTGACTTCTTCTTCCAAGTGCATTTTTCCCCCAGATATTTACATTACAAAATAAAATTTTAAAATCATGGCAGATGTCAAACCTATAAATTCATGTAGAGGTCTATTTATGAGATTAGTGACCCTATCTCTTCATGAGAATACATGTACTCATTAACAAAATTCACTGTGAATAGCCAAGAATATTTTCAGATAAATTATGCTGTATATAGTTTTAACTTAACAAACACATACCATCCTCACAGGTGAATTGCCAGCCCCTAATGTTTTCAGAGATGTGCATATTATGCTTCAATAATATTATCTTCAATAATCTAACATCTAATCTCAGAAGCCCTAAAAATAAAAATAAATTTAAATTAGCGCTAAAATTATGCCTAAATACACTACCATTCTAATGAAGGTTCCATGCGGTAGTGTAGTTTGTTGAGGGGCTATGCTACAAGCCAGAAGGTCGCGGGTTCAAGTCCCGATGAGATCTTTTGATTTTTTTCAATTGACCTAATCCTTCCAGCCGCACTATGGCTCTGGGGTTCACTCAGCCTCTCACAGAAATGAATACCAGGAATTAATTAAATAATTTTTTTGGGGAGTAAAGCACGGCCGGCGCGTAAGGCTGACAACCTTACTGCCATCTTTGAGCCGATCGTCTACATAATGTGGGACTCTTAACGTCTCACAATCCTATGGGCCTTCACGGCCTGGTACAGGATAGCTTTACTTTTTTGTTTACTTTACCATTCTAATGAAATACATATTTCTGCATACAGAGGATCCTGATCGCCCATGTCATGTAGCCTGCCAAGATGATGAAGTAAACCACCGTTTCTATTTGGTCAATGGAGAAGATGGATGGTTTCCATTTGGTACGGATTGTAGTCGTGGTGTACCTGAAAAGAGAGCATACTGCATTAGTGGAAAATGTTTAGTAAGTGTTCCCATCATAATTAAAACATGTCAAGACATATTGATAATTATCATTCCTACATGTGTAACCACTGTTTTCACATAATGGTTGCATCAAAATTTTAAGGTATAAATTAGTTTCTGATGCATTCATGTACAAAGGTCACATCACACATTCAAGAGATTTAACTTATGCAGACAATGCTTCAATTATAGAAGTGAAGTCACTACTTACTGAATATACATCTAAATTGTGAAGCACTGCCTTGGACACTGGTGTTATTGGTTCCTTGTTTGATGATGGATCAACTAAGGAGCAGTTGCAGCATCCCTTATATGAAACATTGTGTACTACAATGAAAAGAATGAAAACTGATGGTTAATGAATAACTGGTACAACAGAAATCAACATTTAATATGGAACAGTATCATAAAATAAAACAGCTTCCACCATACAAGTACAATGAGATTATTATTAAGGAATTTCTTTACAAATAAGCTCCTTTAATTGTTTTCTGCAATGATTATTAGTGCATCTCTGATTACTGAATATGTTCTTTAATCTAAAACTGACAAATAATTAGAGTCAATCAATAATGCAGTCAGGATCTTAAAAGCAAACATACAAAAAATGTGAGACATTCTTTTGTAGTTCCCAAGTAAAGAAACAAACAAACTCCATAGGGCTGAGTCCTTAGGAAGCCATTACTTGCATAGCTACTTAAGAATTTCAAATATTTAGATGGAACCCAATGGTTCACTACTACGTTCACACCCTTCACCAGTCCCTGTCCTCAGCCAGATGAATCCAGTCCATATCACCCCTTCCCCTCTCTCTAAAATCCATTTTAATATTAACCTCCTACCTAAGCCTAGGTCTTTTCCCACCAGTGACCCAGGTTCAATCCTGGGTCTGGTAAAGTTTGATTTGTGGTGGACAAAGTGGCGCTGGAGCTGCTTTCCTCCGAGTACTTCGGCTTCCCCTGCCAATCTTCATTCCACCAAATTCTGCATCATCATAATCACCAGGGGCAGGTACAATAGGCCAATCAGTGGCGGCCGTGCCAAGTGGACCCAGCTGGACTCCACCCCCCACTAAGTGAATTTAAAAAAAAGCCTAGGTCTTCTTAGAGGTCTCTTTCCTTCCGGCTTTCTGACCAAAATTCTGTATGCATTTTTATTCCTGAAATGCCTACTGGCTTCATGTCCTATACTGTTTAATTTATTTGGCTATGATCCTGTAACTATTGCAATCTGGTTTGTTTCCTTTGATCTAATAGTTCTGAACATCCTTAGTCACACCATGGCTTATACTTCAATTTGTAATATCCTAGATTCTCTTTGGCTGAAATTTTGATATTCTTTCTACCAGTTTCCCAAGCTCTATTAATATCCACGTAATCATCCAAGTTTTCCAAAACTGTGACCCTATTTGAGATTTTAAGTTCACACTGTTCTTTACCCTCTACCTTGTTTAGTTTCTTTAGGTAGAACCTATTTATGTAAAACTTTTGCATTGTTTATTTACATACTGCCTGTTTCTCCCTTCCTATTTTGACCACCAGACAGTGATCAGCATCAAAGTCTGCTACCCTGACAGGTCAGACATCAAATAACCTCGAATTACGTCTCCCATCTATCAAAATATAGTCTATCTATGTGTCTTTCCATCTGGAGACGTGCAAGTAAATTTATGAATGTTACAATGTGGGAACATTTTACTTCTGACAATCAGACATTTGAATGTAGTAAAGTTCACTACTCTAAGTCCATTATCATTAATAATTTCATGTAAATGCTTATTCCTGATTTTTGGTTTTATGTAAAATACTGTCACATGTCAGTGATTAGACATGGGCCTTGGACTGGTAATTGGATTTATTGAATTGTTACAATTCATAACTACAAATTACTATAACGCTCCTTAATTTACACTCTACAGATCACTACAACTGGTACACACATAAAGTCTTCTGTTAGTTCCCTAGTCATTAACAGGTAGTGGCTGCTAACAACACAACAAAAGATTGCTAACTACTGAGTCTGACATCTGACTGTTGACTAATTGGCCTGACTGACAAATTGCTGATGGCCCTGACCAGCACAGTTATTCTTGGTTCTGAGTCCCACAGGATTCATGACAATATTTTACTGTCTGATGGTTCTCGAACCTTCAAAACCTCTTATCCCTGGGTTGTCCAGTTGGTCCTTGTTATATAACCTCAGCATGGACCGCAAAGTAAACACTGCATCCTCTATTGTTGTGTATCTGTTGCTGCAGAAATGTGTGTACCGCCCCACTGCCTAGACATCTATTTGTTCCACTACCCTGGCTTTCAGCCATTATGTCGCAATATCTTCTCTACCTTATAATGCATTGAAATCTTCTAACAAAATTTTTATGTGGAACTTAGGGAATTTGTCAAATACATGTTCTAGGTCATCACAGAAGCTGTCCTTCATATCATCAGTTTTATCCTCTGTTGGGGCATGAACATTCACAACATACCACACCAGCGACCTCTTAGTATGACATATGACATTCTATTTTTAACAAACTCTACCCTCTTAATTGTGGATATGATTGTCTTGCATACAAAAATTCCAGATTTCTATTCCCACTTTCATAGAATGTATAATCGCATGATGGTTCAATGTCACCCCTGTCCCATCTGGCCCCTTCTACTCCCACTAAATCTAACATATTTTGCTATTTCTCTCATAATGGTTGCCAGTGAACATGATCTATTTAGGTTCCTTACATCCTGTATGTCAAATCTCATACCCATTTTCCTTAGTTTAGGTCATTTATCCAAACAATCTCTCCAAGTCTGAGTACCTACACAACATTCCATAACAAAATTATTTTTGTATGGTGCAGACTTGTTAACCCTCCATCTAAAGAACTATCAATCGTTGGGAGTTCATGGCTGCTTATTCAATATATCTGCAGTTACCCTCCATATCTGGGGGCCATCTCCTCCATCCACAATCCAGGGATGTGACATGTTATGGTGACAAGGGGCCCACTTAAGATAAAGTTCTCAAGCTAAATGTTTTTAATTTTTATATATATTTCTTGGACTTGAACTCGTTTTATCAGATGTTAGCTTAAGTCCCATATAAACAACTTTAAAATTTATTAAAATTAACATTTGTGTTGGTCTATATAAAAGCCAGCAATTTAATTTTTTTTTTCCAAATTTTAAAGCAGTGAATATATTTTCTATGTTAATTACTGAGTCTGATCAAATATGGCAGAATACTACACCAATCACTTGCCAATGACTGTAACATATTGGTGAGTAATGTCAGTGCCCACACTGTGGAAGAAAAAGAGACTTCTTCTGGTTATTCATATGAAGAGAATATGTGTGTACATTTCTACTTCATCCACACAGATCAACTTAATTTCTTTCTTATGAGTTGGAGAGTGGATATAAAAGGAATAAAGTGAATTCTGTTACAGGAGTTTGGTTCCGATGACACACCTCTGCATGAATCGGAATACACTCTACCTCTACTCAGTCGGATGAAACGCAGTCTCATCAACAATTCAACCAAAGTGCAAACTAGACTGGATCAGACCATGCTGAATAACATTATCTCCAGGCTTAACTTCAGAGGTTTGATAAGCATTTTGTCACAAATCTGACATCACGTATCCTTCTGATAGGTTTAGAATTAAAATGATCATTTTATGTTCATGAGGAAATATTTGAGGATCAGATAAATACATGTTAACACATTCTGAATTAAATGCTTAATATTTTCATGTTCTATGTACAATCCTATTAGTGCATATGGATATTAAAGAACATGTAACACAATCAATGAAAGTTACAAGTGGGCAATATACATATTTTTTTTTTCAATTTATGTACAGTTTACAAATCACCAATTGAAATCACATGTATATAATCTAAATGATTGTTTTGAGGTATTTTATTATATCGAAGAAATTATTAAGTATGATATTTTGAGAATCAATACAGCATTTCATTTGCATTTCAGTTCTTCATCAATACTCTAAAACATTAACATTCTCCATGTTTGCATTCTCTTTGTATGAGTATCCCACCTGAATATACACTGGCATCACTCATCACTATATTACTGTCAATGAAAGGTGGTCAGTGCTGCATATTACTGATCATGATACTTTTGTTGCATTTAAAACGAATCTATGCAAATGAATTCAGTGGCTCAAATGTAGATTACTGATGGCAGGTCATGCTGCAAAAAAGCAAATATTGTGAAAATGTTAATTCAGTGAAAAACACCAAACACGTTTTTGTCTTTTTGAAGAACATCTTTTCTTCATCCAGACAAATGTCATTGCCCCAAAACTTATGTTGAAGTTGCTATTTCAGTACATGTGTAAAGTAAATAAATTTGGAGTCCTCATATGCAGTAGTGCGATTTCACTGTGTTTCATTATATAAGGGCTATCTGAAAAGTAACCTCCAGTCAGCTGTTAACAAAATAAGCAATGAGAAAAACAAGTTTATTATATACTAGCTGTACCCGGCCACGCGTTGCTGTGGCTCAGTCTAACGAAATATTTCAATTCAAACCCAGATCAATTGACACAGCTCAATCCCACCGCCAATTGCACTGAAAAATAAGTAGAACAGTTAAGAAAACGAAATGAAAAACAATGAAAAATAAACCATACTCACGAAATGAACGCTATGGTAAACGACACAGCCCAATTCCAATTTATATTTATATAGATGTAACGTGTTTGGGCACGTCATGCGAATATTTATTGTCTTCGCTTTTACACTTATACACTTTGCAAGAATTGCCACTTGCAGTATCAGTACATACTTAAACTACTTCTCAACACAGTCATCGATGGAAATGAGGCACATATATCAAGGAATAAGTTTTTGTATGCTTGTGTCAAAGAAGCCTGCCACCTGTGAGCATAATCACATTCTGACACCTTCCATCAACTCCTCATTACTGCTGAACCACTATGATCCTGCCCAGTTCTTCAGGTACATAAACAGATGGTAATTGCTTGGAGTGAGATCAGGGCTCTTAGGAGGGTGGTCAAACAACTCCCAGTTGAAATATTCCAGCAATGCTTGAGTGTGGGTAGATGTATGCAGATGTGCATTATCATGGAGCAGCACTACATTAGATGTTGACATATCACAACTTTTACTCTGAATGGCCCTACGCAGTTTATGTAGTGTTTTGAAATACACTTCTGACGTTACTGTGGTCCCTTGTTGCATGAATTCCACCATCAGCTCTCTTTTCCTGTCCCAGAGAACAGCTTCCATCATCTTTCTGGCAGATGTTTGTTTAAACTTTTCCAACTTGTTTGGTGAATGTATGCATCCACTGCTTTGACTGTTCTTTGGTTTCAACATTAAAAAATGAAAGCAGTTACTCATACAACATGATTGAGAAATTCATTGCCATCTTTATACTATTGCTCTAAAAATGTCAAAGCCAAAGCCATTCTGAGTTCTGTGCACATCTGTGAGCATTTTCAGAACCCATCTTGCACAATACTTCTGACAGCCTAGCTTAACTGTAGTAATCTCACGAATGAACGAAAGAATGTACAAGGGGTCGGCCCTCTTGGCCCTTGCACCGTGACAACAGTGATCTATTGTGCTTCCCCTTTTGATTATCCCCTCAGCAATCCTGCACTTCAAATGAAGTGTAGGATTTTGTACATGGGGATGTCGAAATAGTCACTTGGTTCCATAAAATACTGACCCAAGTGACGCAATCTTAAATAAGCTAAGGCCTCACATTCGCACAGGATATGTGTGGCTGTTTCATTTTCTTCTTGACATCTCTCACAAGTTGGACTATTACCAAGTCCCAGTTTGAAGAGGTGTCCTTTAAGGTGACAGTGTCCTGTAAGTAGTCCCACCACCCAGTGTAGCTGGTTCCTGTTTAACTTCAACAGTCCCTTCGCTCTTTTAGTAGAGGGTCCTCATATGAGTCCCTTTGCTTGCCTGAGTCCAGTCAAGGATCCCCAATATTTCTTGTGATTCATATTTGTCCAGTCCCTGATTGCCTTTCTGGCAACTCCTATAGAGATGCCACAGGCTGGTTCAGGTCCTATGAACAGATGTTCAGCTCCAATCTTGGCCAATCGATCTGCTGTTTCATTTCCAGCAATACCCTCATGCCCGGGCACCCATATCAGTTGTACCCTGTTATGTTTGGCCAGTTCCATGAGGGTTTGGTGGCAATCCCAGACCAATTTTGAGTTGATCTGGTGTTTGTCAAGCGCTTTAAGTGCAGCTTGGCTGTCAGATAGAATGTAGATGTTCCTATTTCTGTAGTTCTTATCTAGATTATCCATAATACATACCTTCACGGCATATACTTCTGCCTGGAATACTGTCATGTACTGCCCAAGGCTTAAACTAAGTTTCTGCCTCGTACCATAGCAGTACACACCAGCTCCAGTGTCCTTATTTATCTTGGAACCATCTGTATACCAGATCAGTCCCCCTTTTCTATTGGGCAGAAACCCGTCTTCCCATTCACTCCTGTCAGGAAATCTGACTGTGAAGGGGTTTTCAAATACATGTCTCAGTATCATTTTGTTGGACCCCATTTGTAATCTGGGTTCTTTTTTCATGTCCTGAGTGATGTATACATGTCCTAAACTATCGGATTTAGGTTTCCATTGATCACTGCACTGGAGACAGCAGATTCCTGCCCTGGCCTCTGCCTCTAACTGTATGTGCAGTGGGGGAAATCCAAGGAGTATCTCCAGTGCAGCTGTTGGAGATGTTTGAATTGCTCCTGTGATACTCAAGCAAGCCAACCTTTGCAATTTGCTAAGTTCTGCCTTGCTTTTCTTGAGTTTAACTCTGGGCCACTATACTGTGGCACCGTATGTAATTATGGGTCTTATAACTGCAGTGTATATCCAATGCACAACATGTGGCTGCAGTCCCCAAGTTTTACCAAACATGCTTCTACATGTCCAAAAAGCCTTATAGGCTTTATTGATGACCTTGTCCAGCTGCTTTTTCCATGTCAGTCCCTTGTCTAATACTAGACCAAGGTACTTGACATTGCTGGAGAGCTGGATCGTCTTATTGAAGAGGGTCGGTTCCTTAAGGCCCTTTATATTTCTCTTCCTGGTAAACGGTATAATTACCATCTTATTTGTATCGATGGAAAGGGTGATAATCTCATAGAGAACAGTACGTGAAATCAGAGGACATTCAAAAGAAAGTTCTGAAACTGCGCAGAGCCATCTTTCACAAACTCTTTGGTCAACACTCATCACTCACTACAGAAGGCCGACCACTTTGCGCTTCCATATGAACATTTGTTCACTAGTCTTGAACATTCTACACCTTTGTCTTATAGTTCCTTCACTCATTACAATTTGGCTGTAAATTGTGCATAATGCAAGATGGATTTTCTCAGCACTCACATGTTTAGCATGAAGAAAGCATATAAAAACATAAAGTTTGCAGCTGGTGGGATTATCAATCACAAGATACATCATAACTCCCTTTGTAGAGACAAGAACAAACACTAGGTGACCAGTTATGTCATCATTTACAAGGCTATAAGGCAGGTGACACTACCTTCCATGCTTGAGCTCTCCCCCTCTCCTACATTAGCTGCCTAAAATAAATGGAGGTTACTTTCTGAATAGCCCTTGTATTAGGGAAGAACATATAGAAGACATGAAAATTTGTGAACCATGGGATTTGGTTTTACTTTCATGGTATGACGATGTATACTGGGTATGGTTATTTGTGCATTTACAAGCATTATTACCTTTCCCTAACCCTTCATTCTATTTGTACCCTTCAAATTGGGAAAGAGAAGCTGTATTATGCTCAAACAAATATCATACTTATAGAGACCACTAAAATATTCAAGACCACGTTCATAAAAATGAACAAATTACTTATAATTACTCACTCACTCTAGTCTTATTAGAGCATAACAATGCTTCCACTGATACTTACCAAATCCTGACTCCAGATTTTAAAGTCTAGTTTATTAGAAATTGACATTGCAAAAGGTGAAATATTATATTTACATACTTTCATTTTTGTATCTTGCAGAAAACTTCTACCAAGAGTTGAGCTCCCACAGCAATCAATATTCTATAGATCTGAGTAATCCGATACACATAGAAGTACAAACTGGTGTGCAAGATTTGGTCAATGTGGTACTCAACAACAAGGGGAATGATGAGATTTGGAGATCCACAAGAACTCTTGGATGATAATCACCTTCAACCACTACTGACTTTACTGTTTAAGAGGCATACACAACATAACTGAACACACACTGAACTTCTAATATGGCTACTTACTGGCAATCACAAAAACAATAAAAATGAGGGCCAAAGAAATAAAGCCCATAGATGAAAATTACTGCTGAAATGTACTGCACTTTGCTCTTTTCTTAGCAAAGTTTTCAGGTACCATGTCTGTATGGAGGCAATAAACAATGAAAATGCTAAAGAGTATAGGTTGGCAAAATGGAGAATTTGTTTTACAAAAGACTTTTGAATAAATTTTATTATAAAACAAATGCTATAATTCCATTATTCAAGACAAATACACTAAAAAACAGTTCCAAAATAATTGCATCATTATCAACACTTGAACACAAAACATGGATTGGGATGGCTTGATCAGATCAAGGCAGAATAAAGAGGGGGAGACATACAGGCACAGAAAAATAAATTATGACAATAAACATAAGTCTAATATTAAGATTAATTTATGGTGCTCTTCAAGAATTATATATTGATCTGTGCAGGGTGAATAAAGAAAGCAGAAGCTGATATACAAATTTCATTAAAAAAAAACAGTATTGGACAAAATTTAACAGATACTGCACAAGGTGCTGAAACTCTGTGGTTTCACGAAGTTATACTTCATCATCATCATCAGTAATCTGTCAAGACGACAGGTCCACAGTCTCTTTCAAAACAATTCCTCCACTTAATGCGATCTAGAGCTTTCTCCTTCAAATGACAGTATCCTCTTCTGTCCCCAAGGTCATCCAGCATCTTCTTACGTCTTCTTCCTCGTCTTCTTGTCACTTCTATCCGCCCATCTATCTTTCCTTCGATAGCTTCTTTTAGAAGGCAGTTTCTGCGTAAAACATGACCAATCCAATTAGCCTTCCGTTTTCTTATTTCATGTAGGATATTCCTCTGCTCACTGACTCTAATTAACACTTCTTCATTTCTCACATAATCGGTCCAACTGATCTTCTCCATTCTTCTCCAACACCACATTTCGAAACTTTCCAGATGTTTCTGATCTACTGCCCTAAGTGTCCATGTTTCAGCCCCATACAGAGCTATGCTCCAAATGTAGCATTTCACTAGTTTCTTCCTCAAATTTAAGTCCAATTTGCTGGTAAAAAGATTCTTCTTCTTGCTAAATGCAGCTTTTGCCATGGCAATCCTGGATTTAATTTCACAAGTACACCTTCCATCGTCTGTTAACAAGCTACCCAAATATTTAAAACATTTCACATTCTCCACTTGTTTCTGGTCTATCTTTATTGTGACTGGGGTTGGTTGTCTCAAAATTTTCATTACTTTTGTGTTATACTTCATAGTAGATAAATTATTCTCCAATTGATCCAGAAGCTTTCTACAGAATGTTGAAGAAATGAATAATAAGCAGGCCACTTGATTGTATAAAAGCTGGTTTGGCAGCATCAGCACTTGTGCTTGACAAGAATCATTGGCCTGAACATATTAACTCTCAATTGACATTTGGGGAGAATGAAGTCCGAAAATTGTCAGTTATGTTTCAATCAAATGAAAGAGACACAATTCACAGATTTCATGAACACCTAACTAAGAAGATGGTTCTGGAAAAATCAAAGCATTTGGAGGGTCCTTTCAGTATGATATGAATTTCATGAAATGTATGAGAACAAGAAATTCCACAGAAGAGTCTGACTGTTAGCACAACCACAGCTTCACAGCTTCTTACAAATACTTATACCAATGCAAAAAAAGAACTATATCATTCTGACCATTAACCTACTCACACCTGTCATATTCAGAGGCTACATACCAAAACTACACTCTCTTTTCTGTCATACCAAATATGCACTCATAAAATCTAATTCACTCTCTATCCATATAACCACTAAAACACATTTTGTGCAAATCACTGTACATACTTCACACGAGATTATTAATAATACTGCAAGAATAACCTCAAAGAAACATCCTCTTTCACTACACACCCACTATTCTTATATGCACTTACTTTCGTTAAGTCAATAAATGTACCTTATGGTGTATTCTTCCTTCACACACACACTTCACTTTCATGGTTCAGAAAGAAAACACTTCGATTTCGTTGTGGAACAGAGAAAACACAAGTTTGTAAAATTTCGTGCACTCGCCATTACTCGGTCCAGAATAATACACACATTAAAGCCTACCATTTGCACTATCTCACTGAATCTTTTAAGATATACTTTCAAGCAGATAATTAATCACAACTGGAACATATATGTATAAAAACACACACACATAACACCGTCATATTATTTATAAACACATTTTCATACCAGAAAAGAAACCTACCTTCATGTCGTACACCGGATATTTTGCTCACAGTGACAAGGTAGCCAGCCGCTTAACAAGACTGAAACAGAAATATTTCATTATCAGTTCCATTACAGGACGGTAATTTTTCACACTATTTGTTACCAATTTTCGTGTATGTTTCATATTCTACTTCCTATTCAGGAAGGGAAATTCAGGCGACATATACGACAAGCAGTCACTCAATTGGTCGCGAATCCATCCACGACAACGAAGGGAACGACTTCACCGATAATAAAGATTTTTCGTCATAACCTTATGCCATTGGAGAGCAGCATAATGCCGTAATATGTAATATTCCGTTGTCATTTGTATCACCGTGGGGGATTCGCAAACTCGTGAGGTGGGAGCGGCGTTTTCGACACAATTTAAGCTATCACGTAGCAATATAGCAACGGAATATAAGAGCACAAATTGATACTATGGGAGGAAAAACTGTCCACACGCTCAATTTTATACATAACGTCATATTTCAAATTATATTCCATGTTACAAAGTTCCTATTACTTTCCTTGAAATAGCAGCTTCGAAAATGAAACCACTCCAAGGTGTGCGCAATTAACTACTGCGCATCCAACTGCACCTCGGAGGGTACCCTTGGGTACCATTCGCTTACGTTAGGTTAGGTTAGGTTTTCGCAGTAGACTACTGCGCATCCATCTGTATCTTGGAGGGGGCGAAGCTAGGTAATTTACAATAATGTTGGGTTGTGAGTGTACATTATGATAGGTGTGGGCAAATGACTACTGAGCATAATTATGGTCAGTTGAGCACGGGTTAGCCGCCCGCAATATCTTACGATTGAATGTCTCTGATAGCGTATGAAATCATTATTTATTTATATGGGACATTTTATTTCCGAATTTTCTCACATGATACTCTTGCATATACTTTTCTGTTATTCTAACTACGTAATCTATGAAACCTGGGATATATTTCGATATTTATAATGGTCGTAAATGCATTTTTCCGAAATATTGACATTGCAAAACTCTACCAAGTGCATTAAATCACAATTATTTTCACTGACTCTTACAATTTCCAACATTTCCCGAAATATTCTCTTTTCAAATGGTTCCATGATTAACATTGTTATGTTTATCGACATATGTGAAGGATATACCTATACTCTATATGAAAAGTATCCACTCCACAATATTACTGTTCAAATATTCGATAGGCAAATCAATGATTACGTTCTGAACCTAAGAAAATATCCTTCAACAATTTCATAAGCATTAGAACAAGGAACCAACACATCACTATATATGTTCTAGACCGAACTAAAAAATTCAGTTACAAGAATTTCAGCTGTAACATCTCGTGCTTTCCTTTAATCAATGTGATTCTCTAAGTAGTTTAACAGCTGGAAATAAAATAATTCCCTCATGCTGTATACTACCTGCTAGCACATGTAAGTCTGGAAGATCAGATGCCAAGAATGCAATCAGTTGTCTATCACATCCAAATACAAATGCACATACTTACAAATCATTTGCCATGCTATAGCATATAATATACACACCACTGTCCACATTTTACACTCTCATTGAACAGGATTGCCAGCGTAACACCAATGATAACATGTCTTTCAATTAGCATACCGCCTTCTTATAAGCAAGAATTCTCCATTCAAACAAGATAGTTACATAAAAGTGGAGACTTTCGAATCCATTCTGCGTAAATTGAAATCTTAACATTCTCAAACACTACAAAACCTCACTACACATCAGTTTATATATCGCACACAAAAATATAGCGTCACGCTAGAGAATTTAAACTTCGGTATACACTCGACATAATTCTGACCAAAACAACATACATTATACCCACAACACTATCACACAGAACTAAGATATAAATTCAAAAAGTAAATTCTTCAATGGGAACTATAAATTCATTTTGCACCCTCTTCTTACAAGTACTTATTATAATACAAAAAATATACCATTCTGAATAATAACCTACACACCCGTGTATAATTCAGAGGCTACATACCTAAACTTCAACCTGTTTTCTGTCATAACAAATATGCACTCATAAAATATAATTCACTCTCTATCCATATAACCACTAGAACACATATCTTCCAAACCACTCTACATAATTCACACGATATTATTAATAGTGCAAGAATAACCTCAAAGACACATTGCCTCACTACACACCCACTATACTTAAATTAACTTATTTTCGTTAAATCAATAACTGTACGATAAATGATATGATACAAATTCCGTCCCAAGTGAAAAGAATATATTATGTGTCCTTGAGCTTGCTTCTCTATACTACATGTTTCGGCCTCAGACGGCCATCATCAGGTGTATAACACTCACGTTGCTGTCACACTGCACACAGCCCAAAATTTAACATTAAAACACTTTGTTGTTATCAACAACTTCTTCGTTGATATATGTCTGGTTTGTAGATTATTTTACACACGTTAATTTTGACGTTAATGTAGAAGCACTATAAAATCTTTAGTTCTAATTTTAATATTTTTTTAATTTTTTCCTCTAAATTTTAATTTAAAATTGTTAGGGTTACTCGCCCTATGTATAAAGTGCTAAAGACACAGCAACGTGAGTGTTATACACCTGATGATGGCCGTCTGAGTCTGAAACATGTAGTGTAGAGGAGCAAGATCAAGGACACATAATATATTGCATGCACTTGGGAGGGAATTTGTATCATGACATAATTTATCGTATGGAGTGCATAAAGATGCTTAAATATAACACAATAACTGTAACTTATCATGTATTTTCTTCCACACATACTTCAGTTTCATGGTTCAGAGGGAAAAAACTTCGATTTCGTTGTGGAACAGAGGAAAAACATGTGTGTAAAATTTGGTGCAATGCCCGTTTCTCGGTCCAGGATAATACACACATTAACACATACCATTTGCACTATCTCACTGAATCTTTTAACATACTCGTATACTTTCAGGCAGATAATTAATCACAACTTGTACATATATGTATATAAACATACACATAACACCGTCTTATTATTTATAAATATCTCTTCATACCAGGAAAGAAACGTACCTTGATGGTGCACACCGGATATTTAGGTCACAGTGACAGGGCAGCCAACCTCTTAACATGATAGTACAAGAAACATCCGAATATCAGTCTGATTACAGGATGGGAATTTTTCACCCTATCTTTTACCCATTTTCATGTATAATATTATTCTACTTCCTATCCAGGAAGGGAAATTCGGGCGAAACAAATGCCCAGCAGTCACTGAACTGGTCGCATATCCATACACGAGAAATAAGGGAATGATTTCACTGACAAAAAAGATTTTACGTCATAAAGTTAAGCCATTGGAGGGAAGCATATTGCCATAATATGTGATATTAAGTAATCTTCTGTATTACCGTGGGGGATAAGCAAACTCTTGAGGTAGAAGCGGCGTTCAGGACACAATCTAAGCTATCACGTAGCAATATAACCTCGAAATATAACAAAACAAATTGATATTACGGTTGGAAAAACAGTTAAGACGCTCAATGTTATACATAACGTCATATATCGACTTATATTCCACGTTACGTCAGTCCTATATTACGTTCGGTTAAATAGCATATTCGTAAATGACGTCACTCTTAGATACGGGAAATGCAATACTGCGCAACCACCTGTAAACCAGGGGGCTGGCCCTTGGACCGATGGTGCTAGGTTAGATTAGTTTGGTCAGATTAGGTTTGCGCAGTTGACTACTGCGCATCAAACTGTACCTTGGAGGGCGCAAAGTTCGGTAATTTATGCTAATGTTATTTTGTGATTCTACATAATGATACGTGTGCGCAAACGACTCCTGCGCATCGTTATGCTCAGTTAAGAACGGTTTGGCCGTCGGCAATATCTTACGTTTGAATGTCTCTGATAGCGTAGTAATTTATTATATATTTACACGGGACATTTAATTTCCGAATTTTCTCACGCGATAAACTCTTGCATATATTTTTCTGTTTAACTCTCTACATAATCTATGAAACCCGGAATATACTACGATATTTTTAGTGGACGTAATTGAATTTTTTCCAAAATATTGACATTTCAGAATGCTCTCAAGTGCATAATATCACAATTATCTTGATTTACTTTTACAATTTACAAAAGTTCCGCAAATTTTCTCTTTTCGAATGTTCCCATTATTGACTTTATTATGTTTTTCCACACAAGTCAAGGAAATACACATACTTTATAATAAAGGTAACCACCCCACAATACTAGTGCTCAAATATTAGATTGAGAAATCAATGATTACCCTCTGAACCTAACAATATATCATTCAACATTCTTCTGAGCATTTAAAGAAAAAACGAACACATCAATATACTCGTATATGTTCTACACTAAACTATAAAATACAATTACAAGACTGTCAGCTGTAACAACTTGTGCACTCCTGTAAACAATGTGATTCACTAAGTACTTTAATTAATGGATACAAAATAATTCCCTGATCCTGTATAATATCTGCTAGCACATTTAAGCCTGGAAGACTAGATGGCAAGCATGCAATCCTTTGTCTATCACACACAAATACACATCTAACTTACTAATCACTTCCCATCATTCTTCATGCTATAACACATAATATACACACCAATGTGTACATTTCACACTGTCATTTAACATGACTGCCAGCATAACACCAACGACAACATGTGTTTCACTTATCATACCACCTTGTTATAAGCAAGAATTCTTCATTCAAAAAAGATATGTACATAAAAGGGGAAACTTTTGAATCCACTGTGGCTGAATGGAAATCATAACATTCTTCATAACACTACAATAACTCACTACACATCGCTGTATACATTACACACAAAAATAAAATGTCACATTAGACAATTTAAACTTCACTTTACACACACAATACTGTAACCAAAACAACACACACTAGACTCACCACTCTGTCACACAGAACTAAGACATAAATTCAAAAACTATCTTCTTCAATGGGAACCAAAAATTCACTTTGCACCCTCTTCTTACAAGTACTTATAATAATACAAAAAATATATCATTCTGAATAATAAGTTACACACGTGTAATATTCAGAGCCTACATACCGAAACTTCACCCTGTTTTTTGTCATACCAAATATGCACTCATAAAATATAATATACTCTCTATCCATATAACCACTAAAACACATATCTTCCAAACCACCCTACATAATACACACGATAATATTAATAGTGCAAGAATAACCTTAAAGACACGTTGCCTCACTACACACCCACTATTCTTATATTCACTTACTTTCGTTAAATCAATAACAATAACTTATCATGTATTCTTCCATCACACATACTTCAGTTTCATGGTTCAGAGGGAAAACACTTCGATTTCGTTGTGAAACAGAGGAAACACATGTTTTTATAATTTGGTGCACTGGCCGTTTCTCGGACCAGGAAAATACACACATTAACACCTACAATTTGCACTAACTCACTGAATCTTCTAACGTACTCATATACTTTCAGGCAGATAATTAATCACAACCTGTACATATATGTATATAAACATACACATAACACCCTCTTATTATTTATAAATACCACTTCAAACCAGGAAAGAAGACAACCTTGATGGTGCACAACGGATATTTACGTCACACTGAAAGGGCAGCCAACCTCTTAACATGACTGAAACAGAAACATTCGAATATCAGTCGGATAAGAGGACGGTAATTTTTCACCCTATTTCTTACACATTTTCGTGTATATTATTATTCTACTTCCTATCCACGAAGGGAAATTCGGGCGAAACAAATGCCCACCACTCACTCAATTGGTCAAGTATTCATACACGAGAAACAAGGGAAAGATTTTACTGACAAAAAAGATTTTTCGTCATAAAGTTATGCAATTGGAGGACAGCATAATGCCTTAATATGTGATATTCAGTAATCATTTATATTACCGTGAGGGATTCGCAAACTCTTGAGGTGGGAGCGGCGTTCTCGACACTTTCTAAGCTATCACGTACCAATATAAATTCGGAATATAATAACAGAATTTTACATTATGGGTGGAAAAACAGTTAAGACGCTCAATTTTATATATAACGTCATATTTCGACTTATATTCCACGATACGACAGCTCTATATTACGTTTGGTTAAATAGCAGCTTCGTAAATGACGTCACTCTTAGGTGTGCGCAATTAACTACTGCGCAACCCCCCCCGTAAACCAGGGGGCTGGCCATTGGATCGCCGATGTTAGGTTAAGTTAGGTTAGGTTAGGTTAGGTTGGTCAGATTAGGTTTGCGCTGTAGACTACTGCGCATCCATCTATATCTTGGAGGGGGCCAAGTTCGGTAATTTATGCTGATGTTATGTTGTGATTGTACATTATGATAGGTGTGCTCAAACGAATTCTGCGCATCGTTATGATCAGTCAAGCACGACTTTGGACGTCGGCAATATATTACGATTGAATGCCTCTGATAGAGTAGTAAATCATTATATATTTATACGGGACATTTTATTTCAGAAATTTCTCACGTCATAAACTCTTGCATATATTTTTCTGTTAATCTCTCTACATAATCTATGAAACCTGGATTATACTACGACATTTATAGTGGACCTAAATGCATTTTTCCGAAATACTGATATTTCAAAACGCTCTCAAGTGCATGATATCACAATTATCTTGATTTACTCTTACAATTTCCACAAGTTCCGCAAATTTTCTCTTTTCCAATGTTCCCATTATTAACTTTATTATGGTTTTGACATACGTCAAGGACATACATATACTTTATATGAAAGGTATCCACCCCACAATACTAGTGCTCAAATAGTAGATAGGGAAATCACTGATTACGATCTGAACCTAACAATTTATCATTCAACATAAACAAAAAACGAACACACCCTTATATATGTTCTAGACTAAACCAGAAAATACCACTACAAGACTGTCAGCTGCAATAACTCCTGCAGTCCTATAAACAATGTGATTATCTAAGTAGTTTAATAGAAGGAAAGGAGATAATTCTCTGATCCCCTATACTACCTGCTAGCACATGTAAGCCTGGAAGATTAGATGGCACGAATGCAATCTTTGTCTAACACACCTAAAAATACATCTAACTTAGAAATCACTTGCCATCATTTTTCATGCTATAACACAT